GGCTGAAAACAGCAATTTAATTAAAACTTTAGTACTTCTGGGAAGGTTTTTTGATGTAGGCAGAGGGGCTAAATTTACTTTGTTCTGATCATTTTCCCCTAAACACTGGCTTGCTAGGACTGATGGAGGCTGAATACCCTCTGCATCCCACATGGATTTCCTTCAGTTGTCCTGCTCGCAACCCAGCTATGTCCTGAAAATAAATGTATAGCATAAATTCCTTTCATTTCTAAGGAGGATAATGCTTCTCCTAGGGGGCCATGAAACTGAAATAGACTTTTTTTTAAAATGAAAGCTTTTTCATCTTCAGTCTGCTCCTAGATGCCACTCAAATACAAAAGGCAGAAAGTGTGACATGAAGGTTGTCCAAAAATGCCACCTTTAAAACTTCTCAATCTGTTTAATACTCAAAGGCTATTCTGCCATTTGACTGTAACACACAGGGTGCTTCAAGACTGAATTTTTTTTTTTTAATTCCAACCTTTTCCACAGCAAACCCAGAAAGCTTTAAACCACTGTCATTGAGGCTAGGGGCAAAATTGATAGCTACAATTTTCTGGCAATGTACACATTCCTTAGCTCTGTTTTCTACTATATCAGTAACTTTCACTCATTTTTCTGTGCCAGTTCAGGATCTTGACATGTTCACTTTTTTGCAAGAAAGTAAATTTGATTGTCCTATAGCTTAATACAAAATAATGAGCTTTACTGGTCTTATCCAGCCTTGCCACAGGTTTTTGCACTTGAAATTTCATTGGACTGGAGTGAGAGAGTTTTTTGCCTGAATGCACCTGAAAGTCTATCTACCCCAACATTTGCTTCCTGTGTCTCTTTCTGTCAACTCCGTTTTGTTATAAATTTGCAAAAATGCAGAAGAAGAAACTGTAGATCCAACAGATTTAATAAATAAGGACTTCAATGTAGAAACGCTTGTAGCTAGATTTTAATACAGGGCTCAGATCATGATGACTAAAAAGAAGGGCATGAAAGGGATTTTTTTGAGGCTGGAATGTGTGGGTTTCTGGAGTTTCTTATTCTGGGTAAAAAAGTTCAATTGTGGTAATTATACAACTACAATATTACAGCTAATGAGAAGATATGAAAATATCTAAGGAAAATATACTAATGATAGGGCTGGTCTTAGTCAGTAGTTGGGTTATAAAACTGACTACTAGGACCAAATTACAATCAAAACCACGTACTGCAACATCAGGGCATTTACATTGTTATATCATTTTTTGTATTGTTATAGCATATTTTATAACCAATAGGTTGTTCCTTTCCCCCCTGTGTTGTTGGTTTTGCCCTAGTTGTCCATCTGCCCAAAGACCGGCCCTTTTGTTCCCTGTTCTTCCTTCCATTGAAGGTCACTCCCTCCCCAAGCCTGCCCCTTTCTCTGGAAACTTCCCTATCAATTTTGTATCCTTTGAAACCCCATTGGTTTAAGTTTTTCTCCTCCCCTGTAATCCTCTGTTGGTTTAAACATTGTATTCCACCCTCAGTTTCTCCCAATTGGCTAAAGATTGTATCCTCCCCTGGGACTTCCCCAGTTTATAAGTAGGTGTGTATGGGCTTGATTCAATATCCTTCAGTCCCTGGCTTTCGGGGAGTAAAGAACTTTAGAGAACATACAGATGACCTATCTGTTTTCCTTGTCCCTACCCTCAGCGCATTTCTGGGTTGTTTGTATCAATGTGTTCTTTGTAATGGTAGTACTGGGGAGATGAGACTGTTATGAATAGCAGGTGACCAGCTCTAGTGATTTTAGCTTTATTGGAAACAGTCTAGGTACAGGACCCGTGGGGGTGTGCACACACCACCACTGCTCCCGAGACAGCATGGACGAGGACGAGGAGGATGTCAGCTTTGTCATCTGGCAGAGCTGGGTCTTCTCACAGAAGTCTCTGAGTAGATGCCTGTTGGTTCAGGTTCACAGTCTTTATACTCCTCTTGGTTCACTCTGGTTAGAGTGATGAAGGCAAAAAGTTCTGACCAGAGTTTTAATGTTGTCTTGTGTTTTGTCTCTCAGAGGTGTTAATTTAATTCTTTATCTGCGTGGTGGTCCATTGTTCTAGGGGCTCTCGCTAGGTAATCCTTTTCTGCTAAGTCTTATGGGAGTTTCATATTTGCTTACTAGATGATGTAATCTTCTTTATGGTTTTGGGTGGTTTTGCCATTTTAGATAACAGTGAGAGCAGTGGGGGCAATACCCAGCGGAAAGGGGGATTCACATAACTACAAAACATCTAACAAACAAGCAAGAGGGATCGGTACAACTATAGAATATTCAACAAACTAAGGGGGATTTATGTAACTATAGAAAATTCAACATTGCAACTTTATATTAACTCTTTTAACAATGACCTTTATATCAACTCCTTTAACATGTATTCTCTTCAGTACTCTTGGTTTCCACCAATGAAGAGTTCCATGACTATTAGTACATTCAAGAACTGGGGAATGGACTCTGGAGAAGCCACTTACTTTCTTTAATTCTCTGATTATGCACTAAAGTCTTGTGGATGGAGCAGGCCCTGATGTCCCAGAAGACAACAGCACCATGATTTTGGATAGAACAGACTGTGACATTAAACAGGTACCTGGGATGGAAAAATCAGAAAATGTCTTGCAGTTGGACTGCTGGCTGCTGAAGTACCTTTTAAATTGCAGCCTGTGCTTGAGTGAAGTATATCTTTTTTCATAAGCAGAACTGAAAGTTCTTTGCCAGAGTGGAAAGAGCCAGAGCTGCTGAAAATCCTAACTCCAGTTCTTGTTTCTCAGGGTAAGGTTTGGGGTCGTACATCCTCCAGAAATCAGGGCACTGAGGTCAGGCACCAAAGCTCTCCTTCTTGAGAAAGAGAGGTGCTTTTTAATGCATCTCCACAGCTAGCATTTCCTATGGACTGCTGCTAAGCCTGTAGCTCCTCCACTTTTCATGAATTGCAAACAGAGACTCCAAATTCCTGGAAGTATAGAAAACCTATATAGCCCAGGAATGCTTGTGTCTCTCATCTCCACTCTGGGTTGTGGTGATGTGCATTTAAACAGTGTTTTAAGGGTTAAATGGAAAACAAAAAGAAAAAAAGGGTTGCAGTTTGCAAAACTAATGCTTCCATTGTAGTAAGCAGATCTTCCTTTGTGATCATGCCCGGCTTGTGTCTCAGTTTAGAGACAAGTTTAGGACAAAACACTCTGGAATGAGTGTTTCCTCTAAAAAACAGATTCCAAAAATCCATTTCTGCCAATGAGAGATTAACACTAGCAGATGAAAGTGAAAAAAGCCAACCATTTATTGACAAATAGAGTGCCAACACAGCATGGGAAAAAAATTGTGAAAAAATGCTGGATATTGAATTGTCAGACCTTGCCCTCCTGTGAGTGGGTTCAGTGCTGGCCAAATCGTCAGTGCACCACTAGAATTATTTACTTATTTCCTGCTGTGAGATAGGATTAGGAGGAAGACAAAGCAGGCTCAAACTTTGAAGGGCATAAAGAAAACTTTACTAATAGAATGAAAAGAAAAATTATAAGAGATCAGTATAAATCTGTAGAGGACTTCTCCTCCACCCCACACTTTCTTTTCTTTCCCACTGACAACATAAAGAGACAAAACCTGGGACTTTCAGTCAGTTTTCCACCTCTAAAATAGTCATAGGTTTTTTAAGGCATCACCATGGGCAGAAGAAGCTGGGACATACCCTTGATTGTGGAGCACTGGACCTGTTCATTGCCATCTGATTTCAAAAGGCTTTGCAGCCCTAATGGGCTAGTGGAATTGTTCATTGTCACTGATGTCTGCCTATATTGCAGCATGTGTATTTCTGGAAGGGCCAGTGTGGCCCTTAGTGAATGTGGTATGAAGGGACATGTAGCATGTTTAAAGTAACTGACAGGAAAAGAACACTTAGAATGTCATTTGAAATTTCTAAGGTCTTGCACAAACATGAATTATTCTTTGCGCTTACTGAAAAGACAACAGCTGCTGTTAACAAGCCAACACGAGTAAGAGCCATGATACAGTTATTGCTGTTTTTATATTTCTAGGCACCAGCTTGAGTTGTTATTTTGTTATTTAGTTACTGAATCATGATTAAACTGTTTTGAGGATCTTGACATCTGAGACTCTGCTATAGGAAACCCAGGATTAAGCTGATAAGGAAACCTGGTCTGACTGTGTGAGAGTGGAGGATACAGCTGGGAAAGCCTTTGGTCCCACATAAGGTGATGTGAGAGTGACTCCAGAGTGGCTCTTGGGTGGTTGGGCAGGGAAGTTCCCTTAATACTGAACCCCCCCCCACCCCCTTTCTAGCCTCTTGCTTCTGAAAAACCCATAGCCCTCAGTTGCAGTGCAGTGGGGAAATGTCCCAGCTTGCTTCCATGATGACAATTTGATCATGGCTAGGTTTGGAAGGGACCTAAAGTCTCATCTCGTTCCAACACCCCTGCAATAGGCAGGGGCATCTACTAGACCATGTAGCTCAAAGCCCCATCAAGCCTGGCCTTCAACACTTCCAGGGATGGGGCAGCCACAACCTCTCTGGGCAACCTGTGCCAGTGCCTCACCACTCTTATTGTTCAGCACTTCTTCCTAATATCCAATAGAAACAGCTTAAGGCTATTCCCCCTCTTCCCTCCCTGCCCTTGGGAAGAGGCCCTCTCCAGCCTTCTTACAGGCCCCAGAAGGTACTGGAAGGGGCTCTAGGAATGCTAAGAGGTCAGCAGCAGACAGCAGCTGCTGGTCTGTTACTGTTACCATGGACGGTCATGAGCCCAACATTCTGGAGAGTGGGAGTTGGAGGGATGGACCAATCAGCAGGCTCCGGTGCAGGTTACATCACAATGGCTGAAGAACGCCTGAGGCAGTTGGAGGGGCAGAGCATCAGGAGGGCAGCGCAGAGTTGGCTGCTCTCTTGCTTCTCTCTCGTCCACTTTGGGTATTGGTGCCGTTCTCTGGAAGTTACCCAGGGCCTTCTTGAGTCAGAAGAAGAATGCCTAAAAACATGGGTAGAATTAGACGTTTGATAGACCTTCCCGCCTGTGAACTCCACAGTCTTGGGGAGTTGGCAGAGCTAATGTCTTCTGTTCACGTCTCACTCATCTGTACGAAAAAGCTAACGCTGGCCTTGAAGAATGAAGGCTATATTCCAAAACTGCTACAGCTTTTCCAAGTCTGTGAGAGTGCAAAGGACACTGAATCCTTGCATCTTCTGTTTGAGATAATGAAAGGAATTTTGTGCTTGGACAAAACCATTCTGTTTAAGGTGATGTTTTCTGATGAGTATATTCTGGGTGTTATCGGATGCCTTGAATATGATCCTCGTTTGGCTCAGCCAGGACGGTACAGGGAATTCTTGACCAAAAAAGAAAAGCTTCAGGATGTTATTCCTGTCAGAAACCCTGAACTCAGGCAAAAAATCCGGCAGACATCCAGGGCACAGTACATTCAAGCCATCATCAATCCAAATCCATTGGATTTTAAAGGGGGTTCTCTTTCTACCCTCAATTCCTTCATCAGCTCCAGCAAACACAAGATTTTTCAGGCATTGCAGGTAAGTGTTTTTACTGTGGCTTAGATCTGTAGAGATCCCTCTGGCTGTAGTTTGGAAATGGTTTAAAGCTGGTGAATACTGTGTAAGTTAATCACAGGCACTTTCATTTGCAAAATGTTTTGAATGCTTTCCCTTCTTTCTGATACTCTTGATTTTTTGTATTTTCAAAATGATAATTTTCAGGTGACTATCTTAGTACTTTTTATGGCCTGTAACAAAATAAAGTCCTTCTCTTTGATTGCCAAGCAAATCTTTGGAGCTGGTTTTGTGTCAGTATTTAAGGAACATGCAACTCCCAGTATTTAATTCATTTATTACACTGGGACATTTATTACACTGTTTTCCATGTAAAGGGGTGCAGAGAAATGGGTGGACAGATATGGCAGAAAGTGCTAAAACACTTGAGAGATTATGATGTTCCTGGGTTTCTTGGAGTCTAAAGAATTAAATGCTTTACAAGACGTGTAGTATTGTCCTATATATCCTTAAATATATTATACCGGTAGAGGATGTGAATCTGAAAAGCAAATAATAGTCACAAAAGTTTCCCATCTTGGCAAAGCAGAGTGCCTGCATGTGGGAGAGCTGGTTTTACTGCGAGTAAGATTCGGGAGAATGAGGCTGCAGCCAAATTGCAATCTGTCAATGAAGTCCTCCTCACAGAGACGGACTGAAAAGGTGCTTTGCAATGATGCAGATCCAAAAGAGGGAAACTGATCCTCTTGGGATGTTCACAGTGTAGTACAAGTGGTGCAGGTACAGTAGGGCCAAAGTTTTCTCTTGGTTAGCACTTTTTACATCAGAAGTGTACCAGTTGCTTCCCTAGCAGTTGATGTGCAGAGTGCTGTGAGAGAGTCTGAAACAAATTAGGACTGCCTTTTTCTGTCCCTTTGATGTGTGTGAGGGTGTAACAAATCCCTCAGGGAGTCTGTGGGGTTTAGCAGAACTGCAAAGCGTAGGGGTGGCACAGCAGAGAAGGAAAGGAAATGTCACACTGTAGAGACGAATTTAGGGATCATCCCCTGTGCCCAGCTTTATCTGTGGCTCTGGTGTCCTGGAGATGCTTCAGCTGCACAGGAGGAGTGCTGAAAGACTGGAAATGATCCTGCTGGATGCGTACTCTACAATTTGCCTTTTTTGTGATAAAAATAATGGCAGTGTGGAAAGTTTGACTTTGTGCAGTGTGGGATCCTAGAAAGATCATATTTTCACTTTCCAGAAGGCACTGTGTAATTTGTGTTCTTTTTGTGTGCTCCACAGAAAGATCAGAAATTTTTGCCTGAAGTTTTTGCACGATTAACAAATGAAGATACAGCTGCTGAACAACAATGTGAATTGGTAAGTCAGCAGTCTTGGTGGTTCCTCAGAGGCTTTAAATGAGAGGGATGAAGTAGAAAGTGAAACTGTCCTGAGAGTTCTGCAGTCTTAAAAATACTTCTGGAGAATCAGGCAGTACAGCCCCCAGTACAAATTGTAACTGTTTCCTCCTTTCAGAGAATTTTCTGACTTAAATACACACAACTTTTTTTTTTTTTCCCTGTGCACCAGATGAAGTTTTTCAAGGAATTCTGTGCCTTTTCTTGCATGTTACCTAAGAAAAGAGATGAATTTCTTCAAACTCTAGTAAAGCTGAAATTTCTTCCAATTCTTGAAATGTTAATGGTAAGTGAAGACTTAGAACTGGTTGTAATAAAACTAGAAAAGCCCACAGACATATAGCCTTTTTTTAATTTTTTTTTTTTTAATCTGCTGAGCACCTTTTTGTAAGTCTGATGGAGAGTTTTGATCTGAGAGTGGAGGTTTCTGGTAATGTCCAGAATCCAAAAGCTGCCTACAGTTCTCCTCTGGAGTAGCCTGGCTTCACTGCTCTTACTATTTTTACTTTTCAGACTTCATGATGGAGAAGTCTGAGGGCCATGAAGTCCTTGTGACAAAGTAGTCAAAAGCTGAAAAAGACTTTTTCATGTGGAAGATTGATTGTTGTTTTTTTATCAGACAAAATCATATCCCTTAAGGAAAGTTCTGGATTCTTGTTGCCTGTAAATGGGCACAGAATGTGTGGTACACCCTGATTTGTACAGTTGGTCCCTCAGTACAAAATTAATAAATTGTGGATAACAGGCTTAGAATATCAATAAAGTGAGATATTCAAGCAAGTAGGACATTGTGAATGTTTCCAGCCTAAGTTAGGGCTCTCAAACACATAGGAAGCCTTGTGTCCTTTCTAAAGGAGGAAAATAGTAGGGAAAGGATTTGCCTGGTTCCTTGTTGTTTTTCTGTAAACATATTACTGTGTTTCTCATGAAAATTTTTTGCAACTAAATGTTCTCCATTTTTTAAACTCCTTCCTCTTTACAGCTTCACGTGATAATAAGTACCAAACTTTATTTACTCTAACAATTTTTTCTTTTTTTTTTTTTTGTAAGAAAAAGGACGATCTGCAAGTTAGATCTGGTGCTACAGATATATTGTGTTACCTAGTAGAATTTAGTCCAACCACCGTCCAACAATTTGTAATGCAAGAGGCCAAGCAGAATGAGAATGTAAGTAAAAGTGGTTTGGAGTTTGTTGAATATACAAGTTTTAGGGCAAACAGGAAAATAACCAGCAAAATAAAACCTAAATTTCTGTGTTTTGTTTTAATTTCTATTAAAAAACCCCCAAACATTCAGAAAGCGGGGAACTCATTCCATTCTTGTGAGTAATTATTTTGTGATCTCTTTCTTTGGGTTTTTTTTTGCAGGATACCCAACTCATCACTGAGATCATTGAGCAGATAGTCTGTAGTCCTGACCCTGAATTTGGAGGAGATAATAAGTTGATGGAGATTTTGTGTGCTCTGATCAATCCACAAAAAATGCTGGCTGTAGCTAGTGTAAGAGAACATGAATGGCAGAAAACATGATACTGTCTTGGCAAACTTAAAAGCCTGATATTTTCTATTGCTGTTATTGTGGGCAGAGGATAAATAATTGTAGTTGTTTTTTTTTTTTAATTGAGTCAAGTGTAGTCTGATAGCGACTTTAAATAAACAAAAGATAAGCTAATTTTGCTGATGACAGGTATGTGTCTGGGGCATCATGCCAGACAATCAAACCACACAATCCCATGTGCCAGTGCCATAGCACTGTCTGACCATAGCTCTCACATCTGGATGATAAATCTTGAAAGACTTTAATACATTGTTACATACCAGAATACCTGTAAAATGGTTTACAGGTTGTTATGGGCAAAACTACACGCATTTCAGAATGGTTTAAGGGCACTTTGTCAAGCACTTTGAATCATGGATGTTTTTTCCAGTATATATATGCATCCATGCTGGGAATTATTTTAATGATTGGTTGTTTGGAGACAAAAGAAATAAAAGTTTGTCCCAAAATAAAGAAATTGATCTTGTGTGAAGAGAGTGCTGCAGATCCAAAGAACTCAGTAGAATTCTTTGTAGGCTCTTTCCTCTGTTACTACTCTTTTTTATTTAAAAGGTTGTATGTGAATGCCAGTGCTTAATGAACTTATTGTTGTTTTAGCATTTAGAAGTATTTGAATTTCTCGATATCTTCTACGACCGTTACATTCAAGTTCTTATAGCGCCGCTTCTGGCTCATACATCAGAAGAATGGAATGAAATAGGTAATGACTGACATTTTAAATTTTTTTTTTCCCTTTGAAGGGCCTTACAGTCCTGGTAACAGCCATAGACCTGTGATGCCTGCTGGGAATACAGTTGCTGCAAGCTGCTGTTCCTCCAGGGACAGGGATTCTGGGGGCAGGACTTTTCATAGCCCTTTCCTGAAGCTGTGAATGATGACATAGCTTGATGGGGTACTTTGTAAAGATGCACTTCCTTCATGTGTATTGAGAATAACGCCGTAGTTTTACTAGTCTAATTTTAAAGAATATTTACTGTAAAGGCAAAAAAGCCACAGGTGTGTTTGTTGTTTTGCTCTGACCCAATGTCCTGCTTCCCAAAGCAATCCAGTAAAACAAAAAGTCCACCAAAAATATGTCAGGAACTGCAATAGCAACTGACTCCAGTGTACTTTGACAGTACATTATTGTGATTTTTTTGTACAACTTACAGCATTAATTTTTCTTGTAGATACTTATCAAACAGCAGAAATACTTGCCTCAGTTTTGAAGCTGTTGTCTTTTTGTGTCGAACGGCACAAGTATCACATGAAGAATTTCGTCATCAAGAACGATCTCCTGAGAAGAACACTGGTTTTGATGAAATCCAGACACAAATTTCTGGCCTTGTGTGAGTATAGAACTTTTGTGATTTCCTTTTTCAAGGCTTTGTGTGTCCTGTGTGGAAGATGTACCAGTACAAATGTACATTTGAACCAGAATTCCTGTTCATTTGCTGTGTTTTACAGGCTGCAATTTAGTAATTTGGAAAAAATGAGGTAGCAGATGTCTGTAATCACAGACCAGTGCAGTTTGTTGTGGGAAGAGGATGGTTTTCTCTTTTGAAGTCTACAGGGATCCTTTCAAATCTTCATGACAGGATCCCTTTTAATAAGATTTCTTGCTTTATTTCAGTGGAAATTGTGTCCTTTCTTAATGATGTTTTAAATCCGGTTCTCCTTACGGAGAGTGAATGAAATTCTGTGAACCAGGATCTTTAAAGACTTAGGGCTTGTTCTGGGAGGGGAACAAGGACAAAAGCACAGCAAGGAGTTAATATTTTAACTTCATGCATGCTGGAATGCATTGCATGAAGCTAAATTGGACTTGAGAAAGAAATCCATGATTCCTGATGACCTTCAAATACCCAGGAAAGTCCAAAAGGGAAAGAAAGATGACCTGTCAACGAATGTGCTTCTGCACTTTGGGGATGCATCTTCCTTTTGGGGTAACACCAGGTTTTTCAATTCTTCCACAAGAAAAGATGAGAGCTTGGCATGTGGTTGTTGAATGCTTGAATGTCTTTCTTGACACAGGTGTTCTTCGCTTTATGAGGAGGATAATTGGCCTGCAGGATAACGTTTATAACCAATACATCACTGTGGGAAACCTGTTTGAACCAGTTGTAAATGCTGTGCTGGAGAACAAGTATAGGTGCAACCTGCTCATGTCTGCCTCGATAGAGCTGTTTGAATTCATCCGACAGGTGAGTTCAGCAGCAGCCTCGCACCAATCCCTCCGTGACCTCGTGGGGCAAGAGGCAAAAGGCAGAATTTTCCAAGATAGCAAACATCCTGTTTTACTGGAAGGGTCACAAATGGAACTGGGACATTGCTGAGTCTATAGTCCAATTCTAAGGGAAGTTTAATAATTCTTTTTAGATCTCAGCTTTTTTCCTAAGAGTAAATCTGATTGCTTCCCGTTTGCTCTTGACAACAATATTTTGGTTCTGGACAAGGAATCAGTTGCTTTCCAAAATAAAGTTAAAAGCTTTCTGACTTTCTGTGTGTGAGCATTTGAGACTGAAACCCTGTTTTGTTCTTATTCAGGAGAATATGCATTTCCTTATTGCACATATAGTTGAAAACTTCTCGGATGCACTGGAATCTGTCAAATACATTCACACATTCCAGGAACTGAAGACAAAATATGAGCAAGCAAAAAAGCAAGAAGTAGCAAGATGTGAGCAACAGGAGAAACTGAACAGGTATGGCCCAGTTTCTGTCTTATGAGGCTGTCAGTGACTGCCATTCTGCAGGCTTCTGGTTGGTTTTTAATTTCCCATAGAGCAGCAGAAGCAGGTGGCTGGGATTGGGGTTGGATTTCATTCTTGATGAAAACTTCTTGGGTTAGAGTAAACCCCCATCTACCTTTCTTTGAGTAGAGCTGATGTGGTCAGTAGATTAGATGTTCTGTTCAGAAAACTCTCAGATTATGAAGAGCATAATTTTGCTTTGTTCTTCTGAGTTAGGATTCACTGTGCCTCATTAACACCTTGGTATTTGTGAAGCTTATGCTGCAGGAGGAAGCAGGGATGGGGCTGGATTGCCTTCTCAAAGTCACTTAAATAATTCTAAATCTTTGGATGCCATTTATGAACTGAGTCTGAAACATCAGGCAAAGCTTCAATCACTTGTTCTATGTCTCTTGCAGGGTCTCCATATTGCCTGGTGAGACACTTGTCAAAAAAGCAGTAGTCTCACAGGATGAAGGTGAAGAGAAGGCAGCTCCAACATCACCAGCAAGCTCCAGTGACTCCCATCCAACGAACACAACCCTGGCCGCAGTGATGGCAGCCCCCAAGGTGGGAGAGAACTTTCATGGAAGCTCCTGTCCTCACGTAGGACAGCAGAGCAGCCTTGTGGGGTTTTACTGGGTGTAATGGGGCACAGTCAGCAATAGCTTTGTACAGGGTACCTTAGTTAGGGACAAATTCACCCAAATCCCAGACTGGTTTCACTAAGAGTGAAACCCTGGCTAGTTTGGGTTAAGGTTCAAGGAGGATAAGGTGGGCTGGAGTCTGTTGTTCATCTGATGGGCAAAGGTTCATTTTGCCTCTTCTGCGTGATCAAAATCCTTGGCTTTCTTCCCTGCCCAGCTGGTGCCCTGTTTGTGTGATATACAGATAAGTTTGCCTTTTTTGGAATCCATTCCCCATCAGGGAAGTAATAAGTGTTTTTAAGCAGACAAAATGCAGGAAGTGATACCTCCTTTGTGCCTTTTACAGCTGAGCATTACTTGAATCTTAGCTTCTGAGCAGCTATAGAAAACTGTGGCAATAATTTTATTGTTCACCCCTAAGACTTAGGGGCAAAACAGATGTGCAGTGTGTAGTTTTTGAATGTGGGAATATAACTTTTTTTTCCTTTTTCTAATTATCAGAGAGGTATATTTGAAATATTTGGTTATCCTGATGATGAAGATGATGAGACATCACCAAAGAAAAAAGCTCGTCTGGATTCCTAAAGGCAACTGCAGTTTTAAAATATGGACTTTCATTATGGGCTTTCCAATGCTGCAACTGTTTAATGTTAAAATACGGAGCCAGCTGCAATCCAGCACATAGATATCTCTAGTAATATATGTTATTATATAATAGTAATAGTAATAGAAATAGTAATTGTAATAGTAATAATAATAATAATAATAATGTAATGTAGTGGTAGTATATGTTTATAATACAATACAATACCATATAATATAAGTAATATAATTAATATTACAAAGTATAGTAGTAACGTAGATTAGGTCCATTTCTCATGGAATAGTTTAATGTGAAGCCATTTCTATGTTTTGAAGATTTAGATAGTAGTTAGTTTAAGGTAGTGGCTAGGTTTAATTGTAGCTCTTGTTTGGAAAAAAATTGCCTTCTCTATAGTTATATAAGATAGTTTGTTCCATCAAACAAGTTTATTTTGTATTGAAGATCCAAATGTACTTGTTTTATACCATTTGTAAGCATGTTGCAATATTAATGTTGAGCTGTAAAATTTAGGAATTAAAATTAGACTCTGTAATTTCATAAGATGTGTTATTTGTTAGTACTATATTAATAAAAAGTTACATGAAACCTGACTGCGTGCGTTTGCTTCTTTTCCTGTGAGTTACTGTTGTAGTCAGTGATGTCATGCCCTGTGCAAAGGGTAACCCCACTCTCAGCTTCACTTTCAATCTGTCAGGGCCAAGCCAGAACAGGATTTTAAAAAGATTTCTACTCTTTTGAAATTGAATTGCAGGTGACATCTTGAACTTTGCAACTAAAGCAATTATTTTTGCCTAAAGTTGCTTTAATTTAGCATATTTCAGTATCTGGTTGTCTATAGGCTCTGAAGAGGCTGAGGCCAGTGGTTGAACAAGTCTGCACTTCAGCCCTGCTGCTGAACACATCAGTGAGTTTCCAGTATTCTGGAAAGTCAGTGTCTGTGTAATCTGAAATATTAACATATAAAGTACTGAGTTGCTTGTCTGAAAGTTCTGTAAAACTAAGTGTAAAATTAGGAAAAAAAATCCTTTTGCTTACTGATGATGCAATTTATCCTCAAAACATTCATCTTTTCTTGGGGTCTCTGATGAGCTTCTTAAAACCAAGTTACTTCCTTCCAACTTCTCTGCCTTTGAAATGAAAGACACCCTGAATCAGGGTGAAGCCAGCTTGAGTTTCTCCAGCTGTCTTCCAGCCCTGTGCTTCCAGCCCTCCCACTGACTTGGTTTTTCCATGGGAGACAACTTGGCAGGTGCTGGCAGCACCCACCCTTCTGAGTGCCTCGTCCTTCTGAAATGTATCAGCATTATATCACTTCTGTTCTCTTGGCTGAGGAATACAGAGGAGGGATTTCATCATTTGAAAACTCTCAAAGAGGAAAAAAAGAACAGAGCAATTTTTTACCTAGGTAAAATAAGACCTTTCCATAGAAAAAATGTTTTTTCGATTCAGCTGTGGGGGAAAAAAATCCTTGGGATTGATGGGAGCCTAAACAGTAGGTGCCAGATTAGGAGCTAAAAAGCATTTTAGCCATTCATTGGTTCAGTTATTGGTTACCACAGATGTGGCATTTATTCCCATTAAGCTGCAGCAATCCCCATTAATGTGACACTTCATCTTGCATCAGGAAAATGGGGTTTTCCAAAAACATTCTGTGTGTCTATCTGAACCACATGCTAAGGCCATGTGCTTGAGAAAACTTACTTTAAGATTTTATACTTTAGTTATCTTGGCTGGGTATGAAATTAGAAAAGAAAATAAGCAATGAGCTGCACTGCCAACCCAAATCACTTCAGCACAAATCTGTAGCATATTTGTCAGAGCACTTTCTATACAAATCTGTAACAGAAACTAATTTTTTATTCAACAGTAAAAAAGAAATGTTCAGCTCCCAAACTTTGTAGCTCAGGGGGAAATTTAATTATTGTATCTAGAATAGTTTGTTATACAATTTTTTAAATCACTTATTCTTAAGGTTTCTGTGAGGATCTGCCTTCTTGACTTCTCAGAGCTGATAATTACTGTGTCTGGAGAGAAGGATTAAAGAAGTCAGGTAAGATTATCCCTGAAATGAGATGGAGTGCTGTAGGGCAGGAGTGAAATGCAAGAAGGTAAATTGAAAATAGATAAAAATTAGTTAAGTGGAGACATTTTCTGCTGAAAATAAATTTATATTAAAAAAAAAAAAACAAACAAAAAAACCAAAACCAAACCAAACCAAAGCAAAACTGACCAAACTAGAAAAAATGTAACAACTGTATGATGGGTCTTGACCAAGGTTGGCTTTTCAATGGTACTTTAGACTTTAAAATATTTGAGTTGTTTACTTCAAATGTGTGTGAACAGATATCACCTTCCCTGCCACACATACAGGGAAATTTAGACCTCACTAAGAGAGAGTGCAGGAGCCACTAAATCACGAGTTCAAAGTGCTTCTCTGAATTATCTGTCGATTTAAGAAGGTTTCTCTCTGCTAGAGGAATCTCTCTGTTACAGAAGTTAAGTAAATCTCTCTGCATGGGAATTAAACCAGGTTACAAACATTTCTTTGTGGTTATTTAGTATAGTTCCTGTTGGTGACTGTCCTATTCCAAATCAGAGAAGTGCAAAAGGATCAACATTTCTCCAAACAAAATTAATGTGCAGCCTTTACATTGCTTGTGTTTCTTCTCTCCAGAAAGCGGCAAAAATCTGGGTGGTTTTATCTCTAAAGGTTTGATGTATGAGTGGACAAAAAAGTTTGTATTTGTGCAAGTTGAGGTTGAGGAATACACTGAATACATGACTCTTCCATATTTTCCAGCTAGCTGTAGGATCAGGAGGGCTTGTTTTGGGTGACTCTTGTGCATGTGCTAGACACTGCCATGAGAAGTACATGCAGCTTTCAGACTGCTCACCACATAAAGCTACTTAATTTCTAGAGCCTTCTATCTACTGACAACTTATATTCAACATTTAGGAGAGACTAAATAATGAAGCTATATTTATGGAGAAAAAAATACAGTGTCATCCTCTGAAGCTGTCACATAAGGTAATTCTTTGTTTCAGGAGTTTGCTGCAGATGTATTTCTGTGTTGTGCTTTGACAACCTGAGAGTCAATACACATCTTAAAGTGACCCTGGTGTTCTCTCTCTTTCTGTCTGTATTTCTGGTGGTCACAGATAACAAAGGCAGAAAGTATCATTCTGTGCCATATCACCATGCTTCTATCACTGACACCTCTTTTTTGTTTGATTTCTGGCTTCTGTGGTTACCATTTAGTGAAATAAAACACAGCTTCAACATGAAGGACCGAGATGTCAGAAAAGCTATTAACAGTGATTATGCAATTTATGCTTTTTATGCCCTGAAAGTATTCAAAGCATTAGATTCCTCAAATGCCCAAGCCAAATTAGATGGGGGTGTTTTGGTGTTTTTTTTTTGTTTGTTTGTTTTTGTGGGATTTTTTTGTTTGTTTGCTTGTTTGTTTTGGGATTGTTTTTTGTTTTCTTTTCTTTTATTTTCTTTCCTAATTTTCTGTTGTATCTGAATGTTTGTCATGCTCTTCCTCCTGTACTTTGGAAGAGATCCACAGCTGCCTATACCTTTCCTCATCTTGACACCATATTCTGCTGCAGTTCCCCCACCTATAAAAGGAAGAGAATGATTCCACCATAAGAAGTCACAGGAAAGTCATAGGAAAAAACCAGCATGTGTGAACTAAGATGATGGATGATGGATGATGCTCAGAAATGGAGAAAAATTAATAGTGGAGGAAGACAGAGGAAGCAACTGGAGGGTGTTTTGGGGCAGGAGGTTTTTTAGAGTGCCAAGAAATGGGTGTTGGATGTCCGTGTGGTCTGCCTTTATTAATCTTGTGGGCTGAGCAGTTCTGAGGAAAAGTGGTTGCCTGATAGATATTTGCTGTGACATCAGTGGGGTAAGATTACAAACAATTGAGCTCGTTTAACAAGACAAATATGAGAAATCAGGAAATAAAAAAGACTGGATATTGAGCCCTTTTATTCCAAATAAGGAGGAACTCTACAGTGATTAATCTTTTTTATCAAAATTGGGAAAACCAATAGAAAGGCAAGTTAATAAGCTTAAGTCACATACAGGTTGTAGTTTCACTTAGTGATTTCATTGTGTATAAACTTTTTTCATGCCCAGTAGGAATAAAAAACCCAGCTCAGAAAGGATTGTGTATCAGTCATTACACTATTTACTTAGGAGTTCTCAGCTTTACTACATGAGATGGAGGGGACCAGGAGTAAGGGAGCTCATCACCGAGCTCCCAGCCCTGCCAGAACAACTTTACTATTGCATTTGAGTGCATTAAACATTTCAAAAGATCGGAGTAAGGAAGATTTATGACAATTTTCAATATCATTACTCTCAATGTATATAAATAATTATATCTGATATATGAGGTAGGTTTTTTTTCTTGGCTGACCAGTAAGGCAAAAAACAACACTTCATTAATTAGTTGTTCCTCTCCCTCTCTCTGTTTCCTTACTAGTTTAGAAACCTACAGAAATACTTTGCCACAAATAAGTGTATTTACTTTTTTTTTTAAATTTATTTTGTTTATCTTCCTGGTTTGATCAGAAGATTGAACTGAAAAATATCAATCATTTGATACATAATACTACAGCCAGGTTCCTAACCTAGATAGATGTTCTGTTACTACTGCTTCTTCACCAAATTATCTCTAATCCTGATTTAATTCTCTGGGAATAATTTCATTTTGTATATGTGGATATTTAGATTCAGAAAATTACTCTCCATTCACATATTTTGATTCTTGTATAATTCTCTCTTGCACTTTTGCTAGCTACTTCCTCTCAAGTCTCCCTCATTTAACATCTTCAAATATTAAAGAGAGGAGAAAGGGAGCTTCTAGCCTCCTCTTAATATCACCCATGGAACTAGGTTTTGAGGGGTTCTTTTGGTCATTGAATCTTTCCGTACTTAAATCACCATTTTGTCTGGGGAAATCTC